TCTTCCAGCTGTTCGTTATATGCTCCATTTCCTTTTTCCAGCCACTTGTTGCTACTTGTCCCAACTTTTTTGGGATTTGTTGACACTGTGAAATTTTGAATCATCATATTTTTCCTTTTTAAAATGTTACATTTACTCAGATTAAACTTTTGATCTGTCATCTATGTTATATTACGAATAAAATATTGACATTTGCCATCTCCACATCATTGCATTCAGTTTTTATTCACAATTTGTTTAGTGTCCCAACATTTTTGGAATCCGGTTTGTATGTCAGGGCCATTGAATCCATCAGTGGGAAGAATCAAATAAAAATACACAGATTTTTAAACTTTACTGTCTATATTAACATTATTGTTGAACTTTACCTGGTGCTGGTTTCACTCCTTGGACTGCCTTTCCTGAAAATAAAGCAAAAAGGTGATTAAATAAAAAAAAAAATACTCGATCATTTTAATACCATTTGTTACGATCATCAGCTACAACTCTGAAGCTCCTAGACCATAGAAACCACACCTGGATGAAAGAAACCACACCTGGACCATAGAAACCACACCTGGACCATAGAAACCACATGTAAACCATGAAAACTAAAATACATCATCTCTACAGAAAGTTCTCGATCCATTTATCCAACGCAACAATGAAATACATCAAAGTATGTCAGGGCCAATGAATCCATCAGTGGGAACAATCAAATAAAAATACTCAGATTTTTCAACTTTACTGTCTACATTAACATTATTGTTGAACTTTACCTGGTGCTGGTTTCACTCCTTGGACTGCCTTTCCTGAAAGTAAAACAAAAGGGTGATTAAGTTAAAAAACAATTATCATTTTAATACCATTTGTTAAGATCAGCAGCTACATCTCTGAAGCCCCTATACCATAGAAACCACACCTGGACCATAGAAACCACATGTAAACCATGAAAACTAAAATAAATCATCTCTACAGAAAGCTCTCGATCCATTTATCCGACGAAACGATGAAGTGCATCAAAGTATGTCAGGGCCACTGAATCCATCAGTGGGAACAATCAAATAAAAATACACAGATTTTTAAACTTTACTGTTTACATTAACATTATTGTTGAACTTTACCTGGTGCTGGTTTCACTCCTTGGACTGCCTTTCCTGAAAATAAAGCAAATAGGGAAGGATTCAAGTTTCTTTATTTGTCGTGGAACAAAATTGTGTACACAGGGTCCAAGTTACATCCAACATAAGTATTAAAATGTAAAAGAAAAAGTAATAAGATCTAAGATATGAACTAAGAAAAAAACATTAACTAAAAATACACTAAGCACTAGTACCGGTAGTATAATATAAAAAATTACGCAACAATACAATAAAAAGGTAAGGGAAGTTTGAGAT